AAGCGCGACTAGCGGCTCCGTCCGCTCCGACGTAGGCGGCGGAATCACCTCCGCCGCCGTTTGCTCGGTGACCCCCGAGGGCGCTTCTTTGGCCCCGGCGCCTGCTTGACCCACCGAGGGCACGGGCGCCACCGCAGGCGGTGCCTGATCGGCCGATGAGACCGCAACATCAGCTTCGCTTCTGCCCAAAATAGGAGCGACGCCAGGCGACGGCACCCGTTCCGCCTAAAGAGCAACACTTTTCTTAGGCGCCAGTGCTAAAGAATGGCCCCATCGCAAGACTCTACAAGAGTTAAAAGGCATAAGGTCACACTGCAAAACAGAAAACAAGAAAAACAGAGGGATCGGTGGCTTACGCTGGCGCTGTTGGGCGGTAGGAACGCTTTGGGGATGAACCCCCAGATTCTTGGTCCCACTCATCTGGGTGGGACCGTTTTGAGCCTACCCCCTACTCCCGGGCAGAGGGGCTCGTCTCCCTTGCCTCCGAGGGCGTGGCGGCGGGGCCACCCCCCTCTGTCGGCTCCTTGGGTGCGGCGGCAGATCCGCCCACCCCTATCAGCTCGTAGGGCACGGCAGTGGAGCCGCCCCCCTCCACCGGCACCTCGGGCACAATAGCAGATCCATCTCCCCCCATCCACCGGTCCGCTGACGGCACCCCGGGTGTGGCGGTAGATCCTCCCGCTCCCATCGGTCCTAAGGACGGGCCAATGGTTTGGCCCATCTCCGCCGGCCGCACGGACTCACTTCCCCCCGCATGGAACGGGAAGGGTCCCTGCGTGGACGAGGGGGTACCTGTCAGTGTATCCTCGTGCTTTAGGATGTCCCACTCCACATCGGTAACTACCTTGTCAAACTCCTCCTCATTGTCGTCGTCGTCATAGTATGTCTCCTCTCCTTGCTCCCGTGCCTGCTGCTTCTGTAGCATCTTCTTCCTTTTGAGCTACTTTGTCCTCCTAACCCACTCGGCCGTGGTGCGATTTGTCGTCGCCACAAGCCGATCCTTCGGCAGCGGAGCCGGGCTATCCACGAAGACAAGTCTCTTCGGCTGGTCCCGCTATCCCGAGGTCAGCATCAAGGGGCCAGGAATTCAAGTAAAAAGGAGGCATAAGGAAGGAGGACTTACAAAATCGATGAACCCCGGTTCTGGCCGCATTAGAGGATGCCCCGGCATCAGATACATGAAATCAAGGACAACGCCAGCGCTGTCCTTCGAAGGCTCCATCGCCTCCTTGAAGCGTTGCACCACTTCGGTGGGGGGAGCACTTCGTCGACAAGCGCGTCCCCTCGAGCGACGCCCCGGGCACCATCATGTATAGGGGAAGCACACGGCTCATCAGTGGCGCCACCCTCCGCGTATGGTAGGCGTCGATGATCCCCGATCCCTTCATGTCCCTCTCCTTCAGGATTTGGAGGGCAGCGAGATGGTCCTTGATCTTCTTCTTATCTTTATCCGGGACACCCCACTTCCACGACCCTAGGACCTCTTTGATGATGCGCCCGGAGAACGCTGGCAAGGGGGCGGCGACGTCGTCCTTAACATAAAACCAATGCGAATGTCACCCCTTGTTGGAGGTCGATAGATGCATGGACGGGTATTTGTTCACCTGGTTGTTGAGGAGAATGCCGGCGCATCCCATCGGCACGCTTAGCTCTTGCTTCCCAACCCGCTTCTTCAGAAGGTTGACGGCGAAGAGATACCACCATAGGTCGAAGTGGGGACTAATCCCCAGGAATCCCTCACACAGGGCGACGAACGCCATAATGTGCTGGACCCCATTGGGGGTAAGGTGCTGCAACTCCACCTTGTAGTAATCCAACAGCCCACGAAAGAACTTGTGGGCGGGTATGGCCCTTCTAGGCATGGCAGAGCCCGAACAGTGTTGTAGGCGTCGACTTTGGTCTTACAGTGTTGTGGGCGCCGCCATCAGCCCTCGGACGTGGATCCTGACACAAGCATACAATAACCACTACAATCCAAGAGAGAACTCACATCATCTACAATGACGAACGTATGGTCACTTCTTCGTCTACTCCCCGTAGGATCACCGCTCGGCTCCCTGGCACGCCGCACCATCCATCGGTGTGGGATGAGACGTGCCCACTTGCTGGATGAGGCCAGGGCACGACCGTATGAAGATCAGCGAACACGCCATCCCTGACACGGTCTGTCATGTTAGTAGGGCAAGCATGGGGAAAGGAAGACCCGGCTCCTTCGAATGACCTTCTCTACCCTCTGGTTTTTTCCTTTTTCTCTCATCTATAATCTCTGCTCCCCCTTGGTCTATAAAAGGGGGGCAGGACATCCCGCTAAAGAGACGGATCGATTCCACACACACAGCATACAGCCAAGCAGCGACCGAGCTTTTGGCATCCCTTCGACCCTTCCATCAGAGACTTAGGGCCTGTCCTTCTCTCGACCGTTTGTACCTCCTACTACAAACCATTTTCGATACTAATAACACGAGCAGCAGCAAACTAGACGTAGGGACATTCAGCCCGAACCAGTATAAACCTTGTGTCCTTTAGTACACCATCTGAGTCTAACGCACAACAAATATAAATTTACTAGTTGGTGTTTGTTCGAAACACCAACAACTCTCCATATTTCATTGCACTAAAACTTAATTAAATTTAATAGTTTGTAAAAGTTATTAAAATATATTAGACAAAGGGTTCACACATGCTCGCATATGTGGGGCAGGGTGCATGTAGCTACTTAGTTTAACACAACTACTTGGAAATTTATCTAGGGCAGGGGACCAGTGCCTAGTACGGTCCTGACGATGCTTCATGGACACTTCTATTTAGTTCCCATGATCAATGTTGATTAATTATAATAGATACAAGAGCTTCTACTAGCAAATAAGCACAAAATTAAGTCCATCAAGATTCAAACGATTTCAAGATAGGCACCATAACATAGAGCATGATTTTAGAAAAATCTGGAATAGGTTTCATAAATTTTCAAGCCAAAATAATGTTTCTATGAATTTTCAATATTAAACAAGGTTTAGGCTTTTTAATTGCATTATTTTTCCATGTAAAAATATATTTGAATATTTTTTTGATTTTTTATTAAATTTTAGATTTTGTTATAAAACTATTTTTAGCCTAATTTATCTCCTCGAACTTTCAACTTTCTCTGACGTGGCACCACATCATCAAAAACCACCGTCAAAATTGCCGAGGTGTAAAAGTGTACGGTTTTCAAAAATTGAGAGAGGTTAGGGGAAAAAAAATCGGACGATCGTAAATTGGACTCCTTCCGCTAGAAATCATACCTTCGCGTCGCTGAACGAGCTGTGCCAGCCCGCATAGGCTTTTGTCGTGCCACCGGACCTCGCCCGCACCCCCGCCCTGGCCCAAGGCCCAAGGCCCAAGGCCCAAGGTACGAGACGAGCGACGCTGCCTGACCAATTGCTCATTGCGGACCGGCCTTTTGTTCTCCCGCATACTCTTTCTTTCTCCCTCTTCCTCTCGTGGTTCTCCCGTTCCCCTCACGTGCAGCGCGACCGACGCCGTCGCCGCCGCCGCCGCCCTACGCGAGGTGACCAGGTCTCTATCTTCGGGCACTTCACCGGCGAAGAGCACCCACCAGGTACTCACACCCCTCCTCTTCCGTTACCGCTGCCGAGACCGAGCACCCGAACCCTAACTTAATCCATTTGTGTTCGCGTCTAATCCGATTACACTGTAGTGTATATGCCTACTATCTTCCGACTTTTTTCCCCCAAAATTATCGGGTATGAATGTGTACACCCATGTCCTTTGCTGGCTCCGCCCCTGGATCTGAGGAGAACGATAGTTTACCTAAGACACTGTATGACCCTTGTTATTATGTTGAGTTGTTGACTGAGGTGTTCTGTGCTCAAATGAAATGTTTGACTACAACACGATTAGATAGCTGCTATGTTTGTGAGGAAGAAGATGAGTTTAATTTTGCGAATGCATAGAAGTAAAATTTCAAGATAAAGCAAAGGTACTTGCATAAGTGACTCTGAAGGTTGCTCAAGTTATAGACTGACAGAATGACCAATTTCTGCATGTTTTGCCATTATTAGTCAGATTATCCTCTACTTTGCTGTTTACTTGGGCTCAGGTTTTGTTTTTTGTTTTCTCATATCATGTACATTGTTCTCTAATTCCTGTTTTGTTTTCCTTTTTCTTTCCTTCCATTCCTCATGGAATGTTGGTACCTTGCAATTACACCAGCCTGTTCAGTTCTACATCAGATAGCATCGTCTTTGCTTGCCCTCTTTTGCATGCTCATGCGGCCGATGCTATCGCATTCTTGAGAGCCTTCCATACCGTCCATCTGCGCATACTGCTATTTCTGCATTCGTTCCTTAACAGTCGCTTACTTTGAGGTCCCATATCCCACTTGGATGCCCATGGATGAACCCAGTTACAGATTATTATGGAGAACGATAGTTTATATAATGCACTGTATCTTGTTATTATGTTGACTGAGGTGTTCTGTGCTCGAATGAAATGTTTGACTATAACACGATTAGATGGCTGCTATGTTTGTGTGGAAGAAGATGAGTTTAATTTTCGAATGCATAGAAGTAAAATTTCAAGATAAAGCAATGATACTTGCATAAGTGTGAAAGTTGCTCAAGTTATAGACTATTGACAGAATGACCAGTTTCCGCATGTTTTGTCATTATTAGTCAGATTATCTGCTACTTTTGCTGTTTACTTGGGCTGAGGTCTTGTTTTTTTTCTCATATTATGTACATTGTTCTCTAATTCCTGTTTTGTTTTCCTTTTTCTTTCCTTCCATTCCTCATGGAATGTTGGTACCTTGCAATTACACCAGCCTGTTCAATTATACTTCAGATAGCATCGTCTTTGCTTGCCCACTTTTGCATGCTCACGCGGTCGATGCTATCGCATTCTTGAAAGCCTTCCATACAGTCCATCTGTGCATACTGCTATTTCTGCTTTCGTTCCTTAACAGTCGCTTACTTTGTGATCCATTTCCCACTTGGATACCCATGGCTGAACCCAGTTGCAGATTATTAAGTATCATTTTTCTAGCTGTTTCTGTTGTTTTTCTTCCTATCCATACATCATCACTTTGCTCCCCCAATATTGTTCGGTTCCTTTGTTCTTTCCAAAGTTTCCTTGGAACTTTGAGCTTTGGAAGTATGCCAAGGTGTACAGAGAATGCTGCTTCCACAAAATCAGCTGAATTGGTCGAACAACCAGACCATTTGGAGTTTGATGATCCTGATGAGGTAGATGAAGAGGAAGAAGTTGAGTATGAAGAAGTTGAGGAGGAGGTCGAGTATGAAGAGCCAGAGGAGTATGAACAAACTGAAGCTGCACGTCAAGTTGATGCTAAACATGACAGTAAAATGGCGGATGCTGATAAGGATGAGGATGAAAAAGAGAGTCATGCTGAACTTCTTGCTCTTCCTCCTCATGGATCCGAAGTTTATGTTGGGGGCATAACCTCTGATGTCTCTTCTGACGATCTCAAAAAACTCTGCGAGTCTGTTGGAGAAGTAGTGGAAGTGAGTACTACCTGCTTTCTCTGTGCTAGCTTTTTCATTTGTTTTGTTCTAAATTCGGAGTCTTTTCCTTTTTATTTTCTTTTCTGCAGGTGCGAATGCCAGGAAAGGGTGGTAAGCTGTATGCTTTTGTCAATTTCAGAACTAAAGAGCTAGCTTTAAAGGCCATCCAGAAGTTGAACAATAAAGATCTAAAGGTTTGTTTTAGGTTGAATTCATAGTTGATCTTCATGTTATCCATTATTGCCATTATTTATATTGATTTTTTTACAACAGGATGGGTGTATGTGAGAAAGCAAGTATTTGATAAGACAGATCTTCCCAAGTAGGGAACTAAGTTGAAAACTGTATTTTTATGGACTTTATGTTTAGTTTCATGGATCAGATTGAAACATAGCCAAGTACAAGGTTATATGATTACACTCATATCCACTTGGCATTTTAAAAAAGTTTGCGGCAGTTCCACTGTTGAGTTTGAAATACAGAACCTTGTGACTAATTGCAGACCCCTGTGTTCAGTTATATTTTCAGAAATCAGAATCGTGGATGGTTGTAGATTATGTTTCAAAAATAATTTGGGGGTCCTTTTAAAATATTTGTGACTACATATTATGCAAACTTAGTTTTACAACCCAAAGAACATGAATGCATGCTTGTACTTCCTGGCTCATTGATACCTGATTCATGTATCTTGTATTTTGATACTAACTAGAACCCTATTATTATGATTCTTGTAATAACAGGGAAAAAAATGTATCTTGTATTTTGATACTAACTAGAACCCTATTATTATGATTCTTGTAATAACAGGGAAAAAAGATAAGAGTTTCTTCCTCCCAGGCTAAGAACAGGCTATTTATTGGGAACATACCCTATAAGTGGACAGAGGATGATTTCAAAGAAGCAGTGGAGGAAGTTGGTCCTGGAGTTTTAAAAGTTAATCTCGTGAAGGTATGGATACAATACTAGGATGGTTCAACTATTTTAGCGTGCTGCGTGCATCATTACAGCTATTTTATTACTCTGATCTGAATGTATATTTATTGTAGGCACCACGTTCAGATACAAACAAGGGTTATGGCTTTATTGAATACTACAACCAGGCTTGCGCAGAGTATGCTAAGAAGAAGATGTCTACCCCAGAATTCAAACTAGATAAAAATGCCCCTAATGTCAACTGGGCAGATACTAAGAATGGTGGTGAATCTTCCTCTACTGCACAGGTTCTGAGCACCATATGACAAAGTGATACATTTGATGTTTCTTGTATCATGAATTCATGATATTGTATTTGGACCCACATGAGGAAATGGTACCTTTTATGTTTCTTGTATCATGATATTGTATATGAATGTCCATTTTTTTTTCAGGTTAAATCACTATATGTAAAAAACCTGCCCAAGACTGTTACTCAAGAGCAACTGAAAAAGCTATTTGAGCACCTTGGAGAAGTTACAAAAGTTGTTCTTCCTGCTGCAAAAGCTGGTCATGAAAATCGGTATGGTTTTGTTCACTTCAAAGAACGATCCATGGCTATGAAGGCTCTAAAGGACACTGAGAGATACGAACTTGATGGTGAGTTTCCTTATCTACCATCCTTCTATAGCTAGTCAATTTTGCTTCATGTATGCAGAAGGCCATAATTTTTTTGTCCATCAGGTCACCTGCTGGATTGTTCACTTGCAAATCCTCTTGCTGAAAAGAAGGATGATACGACATCAGTACCTAAAGGAGGTCCATTGCTCCCAAGTTATACCCCACTTGGATATGGACTGATGGGAGCTTATAATCCACTTGGAAATGGCCTGGCAGGCGCTTACAATCCACATGTAAATGGAGTGGCAGGTGCTTATGGTGTGCTTGGTGCTCAAGCTGCACAGGTAGATGAAATCTTATAATTTATAAACCATCCCAATGCATGAGGGAATAAATATACAGGAGGGTGATATCTTCTAACTACTGTTTATCTTTGACATTCTTCATACTTGTGCAGCCAATGTTGTATGTTCCAGGTGCTCCTCTAGGTTCAACTATGATCCCAATGGTTCTACCAGATGGCCGTCTTGTATACATGTAAGTATTTCTTCTATTCTCAGTATTATTCTATAAAGCTTATACAGCATACATTACATTACATTGATTTGCTAGCGTAAGCCCAACACCCGCTTCATCTGGTCCCCAATGTTGTCGTTGTAAACCTGTTGGTGGGAGTCCATTGATAAACATATGGTGGTTTGTCGTTAATACATCTGTTTACGGAGAAGAAATGGTTCGATCAATGTGTGCTTATAACATAAAGTTATCCAGTAGTAACTGAGGGATGTAAAAAGTGTGGCACACCTACCAAATGCCTTGTCTCTGTTAAAACACATGTAATTTATTTAGTATCTGTGGCTCTTAAATTTGACAAGAGGCAGACCTAGAGAATCTAGGTGAAAAGAGTATCTCTGTTGTAGAAGTAGTTTTTGTGAAATTTTCTTTGGTCCTTGCATCATTTTTTCTTCGTCTCATCTTAGATCTTAAGAGCAGTTCTATGAACCAACTGTTGCAGTGATATTACCCTGTTGATTCCCTTCATATTTTCCTTGTTCTTTGGCAGACCACAGCCTGCAGGGCAGCAGCCTGTGCCTATGACTTCGCCTCCGCCACAGAAAGGTGGTCGTCATAATGGTGACAGCGGTGGTGGTGGATCCAGCTCTGGTGGAAGGCGACAGAGGGGAGATGAAAGTGGTAGTAGTAACAACAACAGCCGCAGGGGTCGGCACCGTCCCTATTGATGTTTGCAGTGTCGCTGTTAGCGCTTAGAAATTAGAACCTAGTAGACATTTAGAGTATCTCTGCTGCAACAGTACAACCATGCAGGCTACCAACTAATCCTGGAAACCGTACTTTCTAGTAGTTATTTTCGCCGTTGTGAGAATAATAACACAAGCTGCTGTTGTGAGAATAATAAAAGTGCAAAGTGGCAGATGTAGTTTGGGATGCAGTGGTAATGTATCTTTTGCTCAAACTTCAAGAATAGATATGATGTTCGTGTCTGAGGTCTACATCGTGTCAGTTTGGCCGCATTTTGGTGTGATGAGTTTTAGTAGTGGAGTGGCTGGTGGATATACAATGAAATGTATCGACTGAACAGTCATCATACACCTCTAGCTTATATAAGATGAGAAGTGAAGATTTTTAGGTGAACGCTGAGCAAGTGGAGTGAACTGGTGAAGAAGAACTAGCAGCAGCAAGTGAAGTCAAGAATGAACCGGTGAACAACTAGCAGCAGCAAGTCTGAAACTGTGAACTGAAGCATTGCTGCGCAAGAGGATCTCGGGTGGTCCCTCGTGCAATCATTCTCAAGTAATCTTTGCCATCGTGTTTGCATATAGAACTGGATGGATACATTCTCATCTTCACACGCGCAGTTAACTGATTTAATCAGGCTACGTGGATGCAGCTTTTCAGTATTTGTGTACGAAAGAAAATTAGAGAAAGTGCTACCGTTGTGCTCCAACTGGCCCTGTGAAGTACATGCTGAAATTCTGTACAATCATCCAGTCAGTTTGCTAGTACTCGTTGTACCTTCCCTTCTTCTCTGCCCTATGGTTTTACTTGCTAAAACCAAATTTGTGTCGTAATTAAGTTTGTCTTAGTCACAGACATATTTGAGTACCACAGCTTATGACATGTGAAGGAAGCTGGGTGTGAATGACTTCACACCGCTCTAGATTCATCGCTACAAAACAGCTTGCCCAACATATCGCAAAATTTCAGACCCTACTTAACCTAACTAGTAAAAACATCTTTGTTTTAGGCAAAACATCTTTGTTGGATTATTCTTCGCTTTAGGTTTGGTGTGAGAGAAAACAACGTCCAGAATTTAGATAGCAAAAACAGGCTCTTAGATAGCAAAATCCTACAAACAGGCCTCTGCAGTGTATGCTAGGCAGAAGATGACAATCCCATCCTGATTAAATAATGTTACCATTTTCTCTCTGTCTTGTATCACGATAATAATGTACATGGGCCAGCATTTATTTCTTTAGGTCGAATCAGGACATGTTAAATTTGGTATTAAAGTCGGCTGATAAGCCAGCTGAAGTTGTTTTGTTGTGAGAGAAAAATATTATCAGTGACCTTCCCAACACAGACAGTTGTGTGAGAACCTTGCATAAAACATAAATTACAAAAAGTTGGTCATGAAAACCTGTAATGACCAGCGGCGACGCCCCGCCCTCCCCCGCCTACGCTCGGTCATCGTTGGCTCGCTCCAGCTGAACCTCGAGGGAACCACGGCCACCCCGCCCCCAGCGGCTGCGCAGCGGAGGGTCCGCTTCTCCTTTACACCGCCCCCAATCACCAGCACCAAAAACTCCGCCTCACATCCCCCACCCAAGAAATCCTGCATCAGATGTACGCCTGCACACGCCGCGGTGCGTGACCCAAGATGCAGTTATGGCGGCGCTACTTCCCAAGGCGACCGCGGCAAGCTGGAGGCAACCAGCGCCGCGCGCCGCCACGCGACTATGCCTGGTCAACCCGCTGCGACGCGACCCGAGGAGGATGAAGACGGATGGACGAAAGTACTACAGAAGAAGCGTGCAGCTCCGGCGAATCCAACTCGCCCAGCGACCTGCATTCATGGAAGCCCTGAGAGGTAAATGCATCCGATGCCCTGCTGTTGGCCACCGGGCAGCAGATTGTAGAGAGCCGGTCCGCTGCATCAGTTGCAGGAGGTTCGGCCATAAAAGCCAGGGACTGCAACCAAGCTCCGCATCGCTCTGCTCGGCGCCCGCATGCTCCCGCTGCTCCGCCCCCACCGGACCCCCAGCGAGTTCCCACCCCTCCGTGCCCACGGGGACCCCAGCGAGTTCCCTTCCGATATTTCCTATCCGTGCCGAAAATATCTATCTTTTTTTACAAATTTTATTCAAATTTATTTAAATTTACTTAAATTCAAATTAAATTTTATTTGAATTTGGTCCGATATTTTCGATATATCATGTTTATTCTTTTAATCTGTGACCCTCGATAAATTTTAATTTTCGAAAATAAAAACCTTGCCCGCGACCAGCCCAGAGGTCACCAGCGCAGTGGTGGCTGCGACCGACGTGATGGAAGAAGAAGCTGTGCGCCTATCTTCCTGCGCCGTGGTGCTCGGTCAATGCAGAGGCCACGGCGATGTGACAACAGAGGAGGTTGCGAAGGCGCTCCGGACCTGCTTCGGAGTCCAGCGGGGAGACGTCAGGGTGTCACGACACCGGCCGGAAAATCTTCCTCGCCATCTTCAAGTACCCGCACCACCGTGACACCGCGGTGGCCTCGAAAAGGCTTCCTGTGGGCAACCTTGAATTCTGCATTTGGCCCTGGCGCATTCTCCCCTACGATGACAATGAACGCCGCGGCCGCCGTGATGGAAAGAGCGAGCGCTGGGGAGCAAGCCTGCTCCGAAGCCTCTCTCGTGCCCCCGAGCGGACGAGTGAGAGAGAACGCTCTGAGTCAAGGCATGGCCGACGCGACAGCAGTCCACGGCACCAGCGACGTCGGCCCGCAACCGCAAGCTGCCCCGGCAGAGAGACAAGCCCAGTCCCCACCCCCAGCGGCCCCAACTCACCACGTCGACGCGTCAGCCAGTGGGGTGCGGATCGGCCAGGTGCTCCTCGTCGACACGGCGACACCAGAGATGGAGCCCCATGGGGAGATGACGTCCCCACCTACCCAGCCGTGCGATCAGCTGCTCCATTCGACACGGCAGGAAGGTGTCAACCCCATCTTGTCGCCTGTTTCAGAGCCCAATGGAACCCTGCCACAGGGCGCGAGGGAAGGGGGCTACAGCGTTTGCTCCCACGGCAACGCCACCTGCATCGCCGGTCACGAGGGCTGCCCCGCCTACTCCTCCGGCCGCTCCAACTGCTTCACCAGCGATACCGATGAGCATCACCCATGGCCGCACTATGGAGCGCCAAGAGGGTCGTCACGGCAGTGCCCGCAAACGTTCCACACCAAGAAAGGCGCCCAGAACTCCAGCACTGAATGTCGACAGCAGCAACTCCCAGAGGGGCAACCCCGGCCGTCCTGACGACGATAACAGCAGACGATCGCCACACCCGCTGGCTGTTCCAGGTTTAATTGATTTTGACTCCGTGTCACCGGATCCCCCACCCTTGTCTCACAGGCACCCAGCTCCCACCGAGGTAAACAACCAATTGGCATCTCCTCAAGCTGCGCCGGCTCCAATACCATCCGGACACGGCGCGCCCTGCTCCTGCCTGCCTCAACACAGGAGGTTCCGCCCCAACAACAGTGACGGAATAAGCTCCCCCACCACAGAACCGAGCGGCCAGCTTCATCAGCAAAGTCACGCACCAGACCACCAGGCCGCTGCTCCAAGGGCCGCCGCAGCAGGCTGTGGCCGCAAGGCGCTGGAAGAGGCAGGCTCCTGCCCCACAGCGCAAAAGTGTGCGCATCGCGGCAGCATCCTGGCCACGCGAAGACGCCCAGGCGAAAGCTCGCCAAGTCCTCATGAAGAAGCTTGGCTTCGTGGAGGAGAACCAATCGGCGGATGACGCACTACTTGGCTACTTCAGGCTCTTCAGCAGACCGGCCCTGTTCGCTTGAGCTTATTGTGCACTGCTTTTCAGCCATGTAACGGTGTTTTTCTCTCATAATATTTTAGCATAAGCCAAATTTCAGTATAAGTGAACAGATTCGGTGGTCGACAGCGACACAGGTGCTGGCTACTCCTAGGCATAGGCAGCAAGACTCAGCGCAAGGGACACTCCATATCACTCATGTTAAGCATCAACCATCTGTATCTTAGTTTCAGTCGTCTCGTCATCGTCAGTTCATGGTGGTCTGTCAACCTCAGTTTATGGCCTGTGAAGGGTGTGTGGGTGCTGGCCAGGGGCCCAAAATCACCAAAGCGACCTCTGCAACGCCTTAGTCGTCATGTAACTTGGTGTCGCTGTACTGCTGTTTCCACACACGGATACACTCTTCAGCGCCGGCAGCCAGGGGGCTTTCAGTCAGCCGGCTGCTGCTCGTTTCAGTCGATCAACAAAGCTGTGGCCATTCAGAGTCAGTTTAGCTGCATATCCTTATTTATGATACGCTGCCAAGCTCTCCGACTTCTCACTGCTGGGACAAATTTGGTCTTCCATGTCGCAAAGAAATTGTAACATACTCTGCTGGAATGTGCGTGGGCTCAATGACGTGGTCTGGCAAGATGCTGTAAGCCTGCTGGTTAAGGACACAGCTTCCTCCATTGTGTGCCTACAGGAAACAAAGCTACAGAATGTTGATGCGGCCGTCGTCAAGTGGACAGTGAGTGCCAAATTCACAGACAACTTCATTGTGCTACCTGCAGCCCAAACTAGAGGTGGCGTCCTTCTAGCGGCGAATGAGGATTACTTCCAGCTATCAGACGTCCATCTATCTACACAGGCCGTGACAGCAACCTGCACCATGAAGGCTGATGGGATCAAATGGCAGATTATTGTGGTATATGGACCACAAGGTGATGCTAAAAAACTGCAATTCCTCCAAGAGCTCAAATCAATTCCCAGGCCAGCTCATGGAAGGTGGCTGATCCTTGGGGATTTCAACTTGATCTACTAGGTGGAAGATAAAAACAATGTGAATCTAAACCGTCGTCTAATGGGTGCCTTCAAAGCAGTAATCGACGAATTGAACCTAAAAGAAATAGGTCTCAATGGTTGCTGATTTACCTGGAGTAATGAACAGGACAGGCCCACTCTCACAAGAATCGACAAGCTCCTATGTACCCCGGAATGGGAATTAGCCTTCCCAACATGCTTCCTTCATTCCCTACCTTCCCTAATGTCAGACCACACCCCGCTTCTCCTACAAGGGGACATAGAGCACTACCAACAAAATTCAACCTTCCGATTCGAGAATTTTTGGGTGAATATGGATGGGTTCAAGGAGACGGTTCAACAGTTTGGAGCAAACCGGTCGACTCTACCTTACCTCTCAAGCGGCTGAACACAAAATTGGCAAGGCTAGCAAAAGGCATCAGGAGGTGGCGCAGAGAGAAGGCTGGGGACACGCGGCTGTAGTTGGCCATTGTTAAAGAGGTCCTGTTACAATTGGAAGCAGCACAGGAGAACAGGCTGCTCACGAACCAAGAAAAACGAACTGCGCCGACGCTTAAAAGCAAGGAGCACCGAACTTGCAGCCATAGAAAAATCCAGGATCTGGCAGCGGTCGAGATTGGCATACATCCGCAGCGGGGATACGAACACAAAATATTTCCACATCAGGGCAGCACAAGATTAAGGAAAAACTACATCCACTCCCTACACACGGATGGGGGCGTGGCAGTTGTGCACAATGACAAGGAAAAAGTGGTGACCGATTATTTCTGAGACCACCTAGGCTCAGTTACACAGAGAGGGAGGACCTTCAACTGGGAAGCGCTTGGATATGTCCCAAGAGACCTATCAGCACTTGAGACACCGTTCACGCAGGAAGAGATCAAGGAAACGATAAACTCCATGCCGTCTGATGCTAGGTCCGGACGGATTCACATGACTCTTTTTCAAAACTTGCTGGGAAATAATCAAGGACGACATCACAGCGGCAATCAAAAGCATATTCTCGCTGAATTCCCAAGGTTTTGAAAGACTAAATTCAACAAACATCATCCTGCTCCCCAAAAAAATGGATACCACGCGCGTAACAGATTTCCGTCCCATCAGCATGATACACAACGTCACAAATTTTTTTGCCAAATTGTTGCGCTTTTATAAAAAAAAAAAGCAGCATCCACGATAATTTCCTCTACGTCCAAAACGTAGTGCGCACCCTACAGAAGCAGAAATTGCCCTCTATCTTCTTGAAGCTCGATATTCACAAGGCTTTCAACACGGTCAGTTGGCCCTACCTCCTTGAGGTAATGCAGGCGATCGGCTTCGGACCACGCTGGCATGAGTGGGTATCGATCCTCTTCCGCACCTCCTCATCAAGAGTGCTGCTTAATGGGCAACAGGGACCGGTCTTCAGCCATAGGCGGGGAGTTCGACAGGGTGATCCCCTATCACCCATACTGTTTATTCTCACCATGGACCCGTTGCAGCGCCTGTTAGACATGGCTACACAACACGGTGCGCTCACCGCTTTGCCACTGGCGGCAAGATGGAGGACATCCATTTATGCTGTTGATGCAGCAATCTTCATCAATCCGCTCAAGGAAGACCTCAAAGCCACCACGGCAATCCTACATGCATTCGGCTCAGTCTCGGGCCTACATATAAACATGCATAAGAGCTCTGTCCACCCGATCAGATGCCAAAACATCGACCTCAATCATGTTCTGGCTTCCTTCACAGGAACGAGAGCTTCCTTCCCGTGCCGTTACTTGGGGCTGTAGTTACATACGAGGTCCTTTCAGAAGATCCACGTTCAGCCTCTAATAGAGCGCATTTGACAGAGATTGCCAGGATGGAAAGGCAAAATGCTTAACAGAGCAGGCCGGCAAACATTGGTCATCACGGTGCTATCCTCAATGCCCACCTACCATCTCACCGTGTTCCCTCTAGCAATTTGGGCAAGGAAGAAAATTGACAAAATCAGAAGATCGTTCTTGTGGAAAGGAGATGAGAACGCCAATGGAGGTCACTGCCTCGTCAACTGGCCAACCGTCTGCATGCCAAGAGATCTAGGGGGCCTAGGGGTGCCTGATCTGGATAGATTTGGGAGAGCACTATGCCTACGATGGTTGTGGCAGGAATGGGTTGATGATGCCAAACCATGGGTGGGAACAATAGTACCATGTAACGACATAGATCGCCTTCTGTTCAACTCTTCCACCACGGTCACCATAGGCAATGGTCACAAAGCCTAGTTCTGGCACCATGCCTTGCTAGAACGTGAAGCACCTAGGTATCTAGCGCCCAACCTTTTTAAGCTGGTGCGCAGAAAAAATAGGACGGTACGCCAGGAACTACTCAATGGGAACCGGATCAGATCATTGCGGGCACAGATCACTACATCTACACAAGTACAGGAGTTCGTTGACCTATGGGTCAGATTACTAAATGTGCGGCTGCAGGATGATGTGCAAGACTCAATCACTTGGAAGTGGAAGCCTGATGGTATTTACTCCACTCGCTCGGCATATAAAATACAATTCCGTGGCTCACATCGAACATTTCAGCATGATCTCATCTGGAAGGCACATGCGGAAAATAAATGCAAGGTACACGCCTGGATCCTCATGCACGGTAAAATTCTTAGGGCCGACAATCTACAGAAGAGAGGGTGGCTGCATCAGGAGCACTGCGTCTTATGTAATGGGCCGTTGGAGATAGGAGTTCATCTATCTTTGCTTTGCCCTTTCGCAAGAGCTGTTTGGGACCAGGTTCTGTCCTGGGAGAATTTCAGGGTGCATCTCCCACAACAGGACACTACATGCATGGCCAAATGATCGGAGGAGGAGGCAAGTAAGGTGCCAAAACAGGACCGCAAGCGGTTCAATGGAATCCTCATTTATATTGTGTGGAACCTGTGGAAAGAAAGGAACAGGAGGATCTTCGAAAACACCCATATGACGGCGCAGCAGGTGGCCTCGTTAGCAAAAGAGGATATAATGCAGAGACGTAGGGCGATGAATGTTGCTGGGTGAATCCTTTTTAGCAGCAGGATTTGATCTCCTATTTCGGTCCTAGGACTGTCGTGTTTTGCACCAGGGGGCGCCATTTGTACATAAAACTCTAAAATCTTTATCTTACTTAATTGAATGGCAGAGCTCCTGCCTTTTATTTCAAAAAAAGGTCCATGGTCATGAAGGCTCTAAAGAACACTGACTCTGAGAGATGAACTTGATGGTGAGCTTCCCCTCATGGGGAGAAATGTTTGCTTCATGTGTCCAAAAGGTAACATTTAGTTAGCTCTTAGGTGCTGCATAAACTTGCAAGGCTTCCTGCCCATATGAAGGATGATACTGCATCAGCTTCTACTGCAAATAGCCCATTGCTTTGCATATGAACTAGCAGGCACTAGTACTTATACTCCACCTGATGAAGATGGACCGGCTCCTGCACAGGCATGATATCTTCT